AATCTATTCAAGAATGTGTAACGAGAATAGAAAAGTTAGAAAATCAAAAATCGGACAAACTATTATATAAATTACCTGCGTTGAATTTATGCAACGCTTCATTGATTTAAATTAATAATATTAATATGATTCATTAACATTATTAATTAAAAAAATATGAATAAAATTTACTAATAAAACTTTGTCTTTCTTAATTGATGACTTTAATAGTTATTTTTTTCACTTGTAATGAAATAAAATTAGCCACATTGTCCCTATACACTAAATTAGTTTTATAAAGGTCTTTATTAAGAAAATAATAAATATCAAATAAATTATTTGATGTTAAAGTACGATTACGAACATGATTCAAAAAAGTAAATGAGGTAGATGTAGCTAATATATCATATTCAATTAATAATTTTAATGGTTTATGTTTTTGATGTAATTTATCTAACTCACTTAAGTTAAAAATATATGATATGCCGTTTTTGATAATATTTTTCATATTGATATTATCAATTTCAAAATACTGTGAATTCTTTAATTTGTAAGACTTATACACTGGTTTAAATTTATTAATATAATTTTTTAATAATATTATTATTTTTTATTTTTAACAATCTAACATCACCTAAATTATAAGATAATACAAGGTTTTTAATGTCTAATGGTAAATCATAAAATATCATATAATATTAATATATTGATTTATTTAATTAGTAATTTTCAAATAATGAGAAAACTTTTTCATAAACATGCGGTTAGGGTCTTTTTGGAGAAGGTTAATATATAAAAAGCTATGTGGTTCGTCAGTGGCGGTCTCATATATTTTATAAATTAGTTTCTTGCTTTCGTGTAAATTATCGCTTCTAACAATTGCCGATAATTCATCTTGCAATATTTCTATCTCTTTGAAGTTTCTAACTTTATAATAAAACAAATGACTTATATTTACTCTAATAATTGGTGGGACACTTGATGCTTTCTGAAGACTGACAAGTGTTGATATTCCACTATGACGACCTCTACAAAATAAAGAATTTAATAATTTGTTATTTCTTGTTATTGCTGGATTATCAGATACATCATCCAATATAACTAATATATTAAATAACGTCTTCATTCCTTGTTTTTTCTGATATTCAATGATTTTATTTTGAGTTTCTATAACTCTTTCTAAATCTTCAACATTGAACTCATCCCACCAACACGGTTCTTTATCAGTATCTACTTTCAAACCTTCCTTAATGTATTTCTTCACTGGCAACCAAATACTATCCAATTTTACAGATGGGGACCAGATAAAAACTCTTTCAAATGCTCCTCTATAAATATCAAGTATCATTGATACAAGTAGGGTGCTCTTTCCAGAACCAGATGGGCCTACAATCATAGCTCTCATCGGCAATTTAGGGACGACCTCGTGCTTACTTTGCTTAAAGTCATATTTGATTTCATCAATTGGTTTTACATCAGGCATAATAAAAATAATATTAAAGACATTTAGAAAATAATTTAATATTTATTATTTTATATGGATAGAAGTTATTCAGATTATATTGATATAATAGATAAAGTAGAAAATATAGAACAAGTAATAATAACCGATAATAGATTTAAGAAAGTATGCTATTTTGTTTTAGAATTAATTAAGTTTGTGATACAATATATTAAAAATATAAGTATTAATATAGATGGGGAGAAAGAAAAAGAATAAGACAGAATCAGTTGTTTCTTCAACTGATGAAGAAAAAGAAGAAATTGTTAAAGAAACATCAGTTATTGAGTTTGCTTGTCCAATGTGTAAAAGAATATTGGAAATGAAAAATGAATTAGAAATACAAAAGAAAGGAACTTGTAAATGTTCGTTTATTCCGACCAGTTTCAAAATAAGTAAGAATGATAAGAAAATGAATATTGATAAAACTAAAGACAGTATAAATCTGGAAACAGATGTTCATAATATTGCTATACACTTTGGGAGGGGGGTTATTCCATCCGAGAATGGCGATAGGGAAACACAGGAAACTATACGCGAAATGATGAAAAAATAATAGTTAAAATTATTTCTATTATTATTTATAATGCAAGATGTTATAAATAATATTATTAAATTCATTGATGTAAAAGAATTGAAATTGAATAATTTTATTGAAGAATATAACGAAAATGATACATTAATTAATTTTGTTAATGACTTTAGAAATAGTAAAATTGATTTTAACATGTTTTATAATTCTATTAATTATGCTGATTTATTTGAACAATCATATTTGAAATTTTATTGTAAAAGAATATATTCATATACTTTAAGATTTATTGCTAATTATGATAATAAAAATGCTATTCAGTTTTATGAAATTACATTGAGAAAAATGAATAATATTTACAAAAATAGTAACATTAATGTTGTTAATGTGTTTGAATGTATTAAATGTTTAATAATTTATATTACAGATAATATTGAAAAGTTTCATAAATATTCAAAATTTAGAAAAACTATTATTTGTAATTTAATTGGTAAATTGAATAATAATTTAACGAGTTACACAATAACTAATTTTGAATTGACTTATAATGATATATGATTTTGTAAAATAAAAGTTTAGTTTTAAAAGTTTTATTTTATAATATAATATATATATTTACATGGATGAAGGATTAGAAAAGATTGTTAAAAAACTGAACAAGGTTTTAGAACAGAATAAGAATATTTTAGAAATCTTACAAGAAATGGAAAAGAAGAAACCTTTAACAAACAGTTATCAAAGTAAAGAAGTAGATAGAACCAATGGTGAATATAAAAATAAGAAACAAACGTATTTAAACAAACTCAACAACAAAGAGATAAAAGAGCCGAAGTCCTCCACTATGGCATTTTATCAAATTGACTATGATGAAGATACAGGGGTTTATTCTTGATTGAAAACATTTTTCTCTGAAAATCCGTTTAAAGACATATTGGCATAACTAATATTATGAGTTCTACAGATGATGAAGAAGAAACAGGATGCACAATGGTTTATCATTGCAGTAAATGCGACGAAGCAAAGCCAAGAAAGGATTTTCACAAAATGTATGATAGAATTAAAATGGAAGAGATATTTTACAAATCATGTAAGGAATGCAGAGACAAAGTAAAAGCAACAAAAGAGTTAAGGAAGGAACAGAAGAAACGAATACAACCCATGGAAATACATAGATTAAAGCCTTTGATACCATAGTTTTACTATACTTACAACATGTAAGATCTTATATGTTGTAATTATAATTCGCTTGATTTAAAAGTTTCCCTGAAAAAGTGCTTAAAGAAATATTACCTTAATATATTAAGTAAAGTATGTGCGACATTAATCATCTACCATTGGAAATTAGATTGAATATTATGTCATATAACTGTTATGATATATGTCCTTACAGGTATAATGATATTCTTAAAAACCATTTTCCAACTTGGGAAAGAGTAAAAAGAAACCCATTCTGGGCAATGACTTTAACTGAAGCATTGGATGATACCAAATCTGATTATGAAATATATTTAGAATTGAAAGCGTTCTATAATTATTCCTACATATATGATATTGAAAATAAATTTAAACAGCTCTGGTTCATTGATAGTATTGATGACAAAAGAAAACACTTGAGAATTGGTTATTACGACGCAATGAGAGCACTGTTGGAAATGATGCCATTCAGAACAGAGGCAGAATGGCATATCCGATTTTATCATATATTAAGCACGGAAGACTTCTATGACGAGGATGAAGAATTTAGCGATAATGAAAACACGGCTAGCTATTATTGAAATGAATGTTTCAGTTCTTGATTATGCTATAGTTACAACATATAAGATCTTATATGTTGTAATTGTAGTTTAATTTTCCCGTATAAGCCGTGGTGGTGCTTTCCTACATAGGCCTTTCCCATCCGCATTTTGCCATCCATATTTTACTGGGATTGTTTTCAAGATTTGGGTTAACGGTTTTAATTCTCCCTTTTCCATTGGTTAACCATTTTTCGGGGAGTGATAATTTATGTAGTATGGCGGTGGGAGAGCTTAGAAAATACGCAGTTAGAAGACACTTAAAGACATGATGGTAAATAGTAGTATGGAAAACTTACAGAGATGCAGTAGGTGCAGAAAACAGAAAGAACTAGGAGAGTTCAAGAATGGGAGAAAAGTATGTAATTATTGCCTTTCTACTGCTAAGACTTATCAACAAAATAATCCCGAGAAAATGGCGGAGAAATGTCATAAGTATTATGTCAATCATAGGGACGAGATTTTAGAACAGAAGAGAGAAAAACGACTTTGTGATCTTTGCAAAGTAGAAGTAGCTAAATCAGAATGGACGAAGCATTTAATCACTAGTCGGCACAAACGATATCAAATGATAGAAGCCGGGGAGAAGTTGGAAGCCGATCGTGGCGATTCGTGGTGGTGCGATGTGTGCCAAGTATTTTTAGCAAAGAAAACATCAAAGTGTAGTCATAATGGCTCGAAAAGGCATTGTGAATTAGCAAAGCCACAAGGAGTTGAGGAGTAAATGGGTTGATACATTTGTTTTGCGATGATTGTATCAATGCATTTGGGATATTTATTAATTCAATGGGTGGGATTTTGCGCAGTATGGCGGGTGGCGTGGGGACAAAATGCGCAGTATGACGGCGGGAGAAGTCACCACTAACTCCCCCCCCCCCCCCCCCCCCCCCCCCCCCCCCCCCCCCCCCCCCCCAAGCAAAAATCCGTCGCAAGGGAAAGTCTAAGCAACAACAGAAACAAGAACAACAACATCCACAAGACACGCCGGCAGGCCGGCGGATTGGAAACAAATGTACACCCCTTTTTTTCCCTTTCATAGAGTTTCCCACATGTTTAGCGTTTTACAATATCAACAAGAGGTTGTTTGAACACCTTTTGTAGCAAGCTTGAGGGAAAACACGGCGACCTTTTCAACCAAAGGCATGTTGAGACAAGCTTGCCCCACCGTGCCCCGCTCTGTCGCGCGTTTGCCGAGGTGTTTAGTACCTACTCCATGCCTTTCCGCCTGGCGGTCGAGGTGCGCGACTGTGAGAGATCCTGTGTGAAGTTGTTTTCTCAAGTTTCCAGTTGCTGAAATGAGGCGGTTTTGTATTTCCCCTGTTGGCTTTTAAGGGAATCGATCACAATTGGACATATATTTGCTTTCCATGCAGTTAAGCAAATGGAGGCGTAGGCTTCCATTTGCCGCCATAACGGCTTCAGCTGCTGTAAAGGCCATGGCCCACGTGGGAGAAGCACATTCCATCATTCCATCCCTAGGTGGGGGTAGCGCGTAGAGACACGAGACGGTTACTTACATTTGCTTTGTGTTGTTTGTTTTCATGGTTCTAAAAGGGAATCAATCACTACTGGAAATATGCGTTTGGTTGTTTTCCCAGAGGACTTAAGTAAATGCAGGTCACTGCTAAGAAGATGGGTAGCTTCCCCAGAAAAATGATAAACTTTACCTGAAAGAGGGTCCCTTGTTAAAATAGTCTTGTCTTTCAGGGGGCCTGCTTTTGGAAGGAGGTTGGTTTCAATCAATGAATGAATGATACTGAATTTTGAGCGTCTGCAAGAGGTGAACTGTTTGAAAGCAAGCTTGACTAAATATGAACCAAAACTATACTGGGTGCGTTCCATAGCCCGTGACCCCCGCCAAAAAAAAAGAGAGAAAAGAACAGTAATAGTCATAATAATCAAAACAAATAAAGATATGTATCCCCATTTCAGCCCATTTTGGTTTTCCCTTTGAAACCAATCCCCTTGACATGGGTGTTTCTTGCTTTGAGGGAACTGTTTTTGGTTGTGTTTCAGGGGAAACCAAGAGGAACAGCATCACTTTAGGGGGTCCCCGGACCAAAAAGCACACACACACACACATGGGTTCCCTTCACAAACCCATTCATCCCACGCCCATGTCGGGTACTCACCGAGAGACCTTGCACTGGGCTTGGCAGGCCGAGGCGCACGAGGGGGATGTCATTGCGGAGGAGCGGAGTTTTGGGTCGCGGTCGATGGCAGTTTATGTTCTTTCTTGGAGGGCATCACTTGCTCTGCGGGTTTCAAAGGGGAAACCAGCAGGGAAGTTACGGTTTTTGGTACATTCTTTTTTGGGGGACCCCAAACAATGGGTTGGTTTCCTGTATGTCTCGCAATTTTATGTCTCGCAATTTTTTGGTGATTCTTTTTGGGGCCCGGGGACCCCCAAAATGGGTTGGTTTCCTTCTGGTCTCGCAAAACCAACCCAAAAGGGTACCCTCCAAAAAGACGAACTCAGTTGGGCTGAAAAAACAACCCCGCGCCTTTTCGTTATGTAAGGGGCCGTCCCTTAACTTGTTTCGCAGGCCAAAACCATTTTAAACCGATACAGAGGGAAAAAAAAACGATACCCCCAGAAGCCATGAAGACACACATCAGGTCCTAGTTGTTGTCGCAAACCAAGATTGCGGAATCATAAATTTGCAGGGCCCAAACCGATACCCAAACCGATGCCCAACCGATACCCAACTCATTGGCCGCCATGCCGAATCCAACCAGCTGCCCTGCAGCCTTCTCTGGAGCTGCCAACATGTACTTTGTGTACTACATTTGTACTGACAAGTTGCCACTTCCGCTGTGGAGCTGCCAAAATGTACTTCGTATACTACACCATACTACACTTGCTTGCACTGAAAAGCTGCGACTTTCGAGCCGGAGCTGCCAAAGTGTACTGCGCATACTACTGAAAAGTACCAGCTGGAGCTGCCAAAATGTACTTTGTGTACTATACACTTGTACTGAAAAGTTGCGACTTTCCAGCTGGAGCTGGGAGCTGGCACAGTGTACTTCGCATACTACACTTGTACGGAAAAGTCGCGACTTTCGAGCCAGAGCTGCCAAAACACTGCAAACCGATGCAGAGGAAAAAACCGATACTGACCGATACTGAGGCATAAGGATACAAGGGTTGTCCACGGTTTTTTTCAGCCCAGTTGAGAGTGTCTTGTTTTTTGGTTGTGTACTGCTTTTTCGTTTTTTTACAATTGGGCAACCAAAAGGGAAACCACCATGTTGGAGCATTTGACGATTCCTCCACAAGGGCCCATTTGATAGGGGGGCCCAATAAAACCCCAGTCGCTAAACCAAAGCGAATCGACCTTTTAACCTCGTGGTTCTCCATATTTGGTCAATTTTCAGCCATGTCGGCAACTGGGGCTCGCTAAATGTCCCATGTCCTTCAGGGCAAATGCAAAAACAACAATGACCGCGCCTCATATGAGGACTGGGTATGATTGGGGTGTCAAATGTGGCCCACTGTCAGCTACTCAGCTACTCATATGAAAGTGGTCGGCGCTGGGGGGCCGGGGGGGAGGGGGGGGGTGCAACGAATCATTGTTTAGGGGGGAAACAAAAAGTGCATGCAGTTTCCCTTCGTGGAATTGAATTCAATCGAAGGGCGGTGTTATATGTTGTGTTTGAACATGTAGTCGTGACCCTCCCTTGATTTCATGGTGTGGTGGGCCGATTTGTGCTCCATGTTCAACCGGTTTTGTTTTATCGTTTCGAGGACTTGTTGTTTCAGTGTTTGACAAATCACAGGGAAGCTGGCAATCTGTTTTTTTGTATCTGAGTTAGTCTCAAAATGGGGGGGCCTCTTCCCTTTGGTTCAGTAACTCCAGACAAGGCACTCTCAAATTGGTCACGTGACAGCGGCTGCCTCGGTTTCATTGAAGCAGGACCACCATTGCTACATCCGCTGCTTTCTCTACAATGCCATGCCAGGGGCCGAGCAGTTTCAAACGAAACAGTGCAAGTCAAGGTAGGGGGCTTGATCTACTGCCTGGTTCAATGGGGATAACGTGGGTTCATCGATGTTGCTTGGGGTGTGGACCCTTTGGGGAGTTTTTTTACGAGAACCATGACGATGGCCTGGACGATGGCCTGGAGAAGGAGTTTTGACCATGGTTCATGAGGTATTTTCTAGTCCAACAAGGTGTATGGAGCATGTTGTGGTTTGCTCCAGGCTTCAAAAAAAGAGACCCAGGTGGGTTGTCAAGATCATGGAAGAGGAGTTTGGAGCAAAACTCCCAGAGAAACCCCCGACTCTCAGAGCTTTGAAGCGCCTGAGGCAGACAGCCAAAGCCTCACCCGGGCAAGGCGGGCGCTCTTTTAGCAGTGTTACTGGGGTACCCCAGAGGCACCCTCCCCCAATGTTACTTTGGTGCATGTTGTTTGGATGTTAGGACTTTAACTTTTTGGCCAGGCAATGGGTTTTCCGAATTAAACAACTAAAAGTTAAACTTTTAGCTGGGGAGCAGAAAGCAACCAAGTTTTGGTAAGGAAGCCAACAACTGGAGAGGCCCACTTGGAGGTGACACTTTGCAGCTGAAGGCAGTCGACCGAACATTTGTCCCGGCCTCCAAAAGCTACGCACCTGAACCGTGGCCTTGGGGCCCTAGAGTGGGGACACATTTGGTCAGAAGCTTCAAGCAAGTTTCCTTCAAGGAACTTTCACCCCCCAATGTTGGTGGTTGTGTTTGAAAGCACCCATATACTAGACAACCACAAGCGTGAAAAGGGCAATGTACCAAAACCCCACTCCCAGCAGCCGGCCTCTACTTCTGTGACCCAAAACCTTCGCGCAGCATCAGCCCGGACAATTCCAAATTCGAAGCCCAGAGAACGGGATCGGTGCCACAAGCGGCAGTAACTTGAGGCGAGACCGGGCCTGATGCAGATGGCTTCCTTTGGGACGCCTCACCCGTTGCAAGACGAACAACAAATCGATCGCTCAGGCTTTGACTGATCATGTCACCAGGGGATATGAGCCAAGCCAAAAAGCGGAACCAACCATGTTTCGGGTGCCCCAGTTTTGGCAGCGCCCAAATGGTCAAGAACATCTGGGAGGTAGCAGGGGTCGCTAGATGTCTCTCTTGTTTGCATTTAGACATTGCTTTTCACTCAGCAAACTCTAAACAAGAACAGGCACATGTTTCCTTCCCTTTTTTGCTCATGCACATATGTTGGTGTGTGTGTGTGTGTCTTTTTTTAAGGGGGAGGGGGGGGGTTGGTTTTCAAGGCAACCGAAAAGCACACCAGCCCTTCGGTTCCATGCCACCGGGCGTTTCGGAATCGCAGGCGCGCGGACGCGGCTGAGACCCGTTTTCCTGCCAGTTGGGGGGCACAGCGGGATTCGCCGCATCCATCTTGGGAGTGGCTGAGCCCCTGCAAAATCGACGAGCCAAACAAGATGCCCCTGCGTGGCCCTTAGGTTTCTGTGCAGGTTTTCCTTGTTTGGTGGTCAAAGCGTCGCCGTGTGGTTGCCATTATGAGATTCCTTGGGTGATGTTGACTTGAGAGAGACGCAAAAGAAGCAATGTGTCATATTCTTCCTTTGTCACCTGAAAGGTCCATTCCCAACCATGCCCCTTGTTTAAGTTGTTGTTTTTGGGCATGGTCCCGACCTCCCATGCGGCTTGCGATTTGGTATCTACCGCCCTTGTTTGGTTTCGAGGGCCTCGGGCCTTGAGGCCCAGATTTTTTGCTTAGCGAGGCTTTTCGGCTTCAGTCGCCTCCGAAGCCAAATGACGCGCTCCGCGCGTTTGATCCCTGGACCCAGCCCTCCAAAAAGGACAGCCCCATACAAGCGGTGGATAAATGAATATCTGTTTCCAGGCTGGGTTTGAATCCCGCGGGCGGAGGAAACAAAGGACACGAGCGAGACAATGCTTTCTGGTGAATGTGAACGTTATGCTATCCCCTGTAGGGAGAAAGGCATATACCTGCAAACTCCTTCCGGCTGAAATTTTAGCCCGAGCCACACAAAAGCGCCTTTTTGCGTCCACAGGCTGATTTGCGCATTTTGAGGTCAGGACTCTGGTGTTCTTATTTTGCCCGAGAATCGCTCAGCTGGCTACGTGTTCCTTCAATCAACTGTCAAGGTGTCACGACTTGTGTGGCCAGCGACATTGGAGCCCCTCCCCTGTAGGGGACCTGCTTGATCTTACGTGCGTTTCAGTGCGTGTAGGGCTTGGTCAACGTTTTAGAAGAAAAAACGAGGGTGCCAATTCCGATCGCGAGGGACACAGGGTTTCCTTCCGGAGGAAACGGTTCCCTCTGGAGGACACGGGCGTCCGGTCAGTGGAACTGGTCGTGTGCATGTAAAATGGCCAAATACAGCAACGGGTCTCAATCACATTGTGCCTCGATCGGCTTACTGGTGACACTTGTTTGTCGCTAATGTGTTGTTTTTCACTGGACAAAATACAACAGCTTCTGCCTGCCTTGCCCACAAGCAGCATTCCGCTGCGTCGCCGGGTTTTTGTGTTTACTCCGGCGGTTTTTCCCGGATTCCAGCTTTTTAAATGCCTGTTCCATCATGTTCCTAGAAGGCGTTAGTTTGTCCATGAGAATGCAAGTATGGGTCATTCGTTCGGTGTCGGCCAATGGGCCAACTGCACCGTCTTTCCTCTACCAGTTTGGCCTAGTTACTCTTGTTCAAGTTTTAAAACATTCACTAGGTCCCCCAGTAGTGTCCTTTCTCACCCTTTTTTGGGGGAGGGGTTCCCCTACTAAAACAGACTACCGAAGAAGGGTACCCGTATTCTAACCTCTCTGGAGGACCTAGTTCAATCAATCCCCCCCCACTTTTTCCGAGCCCTCCGTCGGACTCCGCTTGTTGACTCCGCTTGATGTTCCCACGAGGTCAAAGCCACGTCGGTGGTGTCGGATGGAGGCGCCTGCCAGACGTGGATTGACAGGCGCCGCAGTTCGCACATTCGCGTGAACTCGTCGAATGTGGGCGGATGAACATGGTGTCATGAACCTAGGTGACCTTTCGGACGAATTGACATATCTCCCTGGTAAGTGGAATAAAACCCATGTAAACCCGTGGAACCCATCTATTTCTATCCGATCAAAAGGGTACCTGTGAACAAAAGATGATGAGGAGTCAGAAGTTACGAACCAGGAGGCAGTATCAAGTCCTCCTGAAAGCGGCTGTGAGGTTGACATGACTCGGAACCGGAGACTTACGCACCCTGAGCACTGTCATCTTGGTGCGGGATGGATCCCACTGCCTTTGGATATCATTTTTGGTGGGGCCCCTCGTTTCTCTCGTTTCATCCAGCTGCCGATGGAAATCTTCACAGCCGCAGGTGCCAGTTCTGCGGCGGCTCCCAGTCGACGAACTGAAGCCAAGCCATGGTTTTTTGGTCTGTAATTGGGCAACACCGAGCAGCGATCCAGCCAAATTTGAAGTTTGAAAAGCAATATTATTTCTTTGGAACAACCAACATGCAGCAAAGAAAAAGTCGAGCACATAAACAGCGTCCAAACCTCGATTTGGCTCCACCTTACAAGCATGTGAAAAGGTTGCTGGCCCAACCCTAGCGTTCGCACTGGCAGCCTTGCGCCCCCGGACAATGAGGGCAATGGTTTACAGACTGCTTGCAAGTTATGTGACGAGTAATTGACGCGAAACTCATTGACAAGAGGCGGGCTTTTTTTTGTAGGGAGGGCTAAGCTGCCCTTGAACAATGCTGTGTGGTGTAACATATTGTGTATATATGGTACCGTTTTCCGTGTTCCCCACCCACCCAATAGGCATGGACCCCGCCGCCCCAAACCAACCCGGCACCACAACCCAACCACAGGATCCGCCGGGGGGGGGGGGTAGTACCTGTATGACCTACTAGAAATATATAATATATAACTATAATTATACATGCAGGATGTTTGTGGCTCGGAACCCTGAAAGGAATGTCAAAGAGAAACTGAAGCCGGCATTTTGCGGTTCCAGCCCCCATTCGGATGCAACCACGTTTGCTCGCTTAGAATGTGCCCCGCTGCTTCGCCCAGGAGGTTTGAACATATTAGATAAGCGACTGGGGAAGAGCCGGAGGACTTGGGGGGGGGCCAATGGAGTATGAGTTCCCAATGTATCATGCCAGACTTGCAAGCATTCTCTAGCCATCGACCTCGCAATGGGTTTTGCTTTACCACCTCGAGCCTTGTGAAGGTTGAAATACCCAGCTGTGTCATTTTTTACAGTTGGGTGAAAGTAGATGGCACAATTCCCTTAGTTTGGTTTAGTCACACCCTTTACTCACTCACATAAATAAAAGGAATCACACCATCTACTTTGACTCTGGTACCGTTGACACACCAAGCTGACGACTTTGTCTCGCGCAGGTGGTTTCAAGCCAAGCGTCACGCGCAGGGCGTCGCAGAAGTCTCCACCATTGCGCCTCGGCGGATATATATATATATATATATGTATACTTGTCTCATTTGAGTGTGCAAAATAATGTGTTTATAGCATGGTATGTTTGAAATGATAAGGTGCGTGAGTTGCTTTAAAGCTTACTTTATCAAGGATTCCTTCGAAGAAAGGAAGCTGGAAGGGGATGAACGCTGGTTTCCCAGGATGTTTGTTGTGGGCAATCGAGACTGCAATGGGATTTAGGGGTAGTGTTCAGGTGAGCCACAATCAAAACCCGGGCAAGTGAAGGTTAGTAAAGAACAATCCCAGCCATAAATAGCTGCGGATATCCGCCTTAGCTCTTGAAGCATGGTTCTGGGTCGACCATTCTTGTACCGGGTTTTGATTGTGACTCACAACCTCAACACCAGGCAGGCCTTCTTTGTGAAGCGACCATTTGTGTTCCGGGTTTTGATTGTGGCTCAGGAGTTTGTGCTTTCAGGTTCTGGCCGCGCTGGACGCCTCTCGCCAGCTGCCACGACACGCGCCCGGGGTCCCGGGGTCCCGAGCGCGGCTCTGGGGGTGCAAGCGGCCCCACACCTGAGGTCTGTTAGAGGCCCAAGTTGGGCAAACTGCGAGGCTTTGGTTTGCGACCTCCACGCAGCTTGCTGTTTTGGGTTTCCCTTATTGATGTGTGAGCTTTGATCTTTGTTCTACGAGCGATTTCGACGCCACCGCGGAAGCTGTGGTTCGCGTTGTGTGAACGGCAAATTTGCCTCCGGTAGTCCACCCCAAACCTGATGCAGTCCGGCCTTCTGCATATTCCTTGTCTAGGTCCCCCAGTAGTGCCCTTTCTCACCCTTTTTTGGTTGGGAGGGTTACTGGAGGACCTAGTCTGTGTTCATCAACCTTTTGCCAGGGTTTGCAGGTGTCCGATGAAGTCTTTTGGGCCACATGAGCAACAATCAAAACCCGAGTAGATGATGGTTAGTAAGGGGCAGTCCCAGGCGGAAATATTTGCGGCCTTTCTACTTATTTACATGTTTCTGGGTTCACGAGTTTTGTACCAGGTTTTGATTGTGACTCACATGTGTATGCTGGTTGGGCAAAGGGTTTGAGCTGTTTAGCCAGCGAACACTGAGCAGCCTTCCGGTCGGAGGTAGAATCTGATTGAATTGGACCTGCAGGTTGGGATGGGTGTACTCTGATTGTGTGTGTGTGTGTGTTTTGCTTGAGGGTACCCGATGTAAGGTGGTCAAAAGGGACACCAGAAGTTGTTTTCTCTTTTTTGTTGGGGGGGAGGGGGGGTGGGTGGGTGGTGCAAATCCCGGTTTCGACGAGCCATACCTGAATCCATCCATGGGTTCACTTCACTTGTTTTGGGGTCGCATACAGATCACGGGCTTGCTTGTTCCAGCGGGGTCCTCACTTCAGTGCATGTGTGAAGTCTATGTGCTCCCCGTGGCCTCCCCCCTTCAACAGAAAATAAAAACACAAAGAAAGAAAGAAAGAAAGAAAGAAAGAAAGAAAGAAAGAAAGAAAGAAAGAAAGAAAGAAAGAAAGAAAAAAAGAAAGAAAGAAAGAAAGAAAGAAAGAAAGAAAGACAAAAGACAGAAAGAAAGAAAGAAAGGAAGGAAGGAAGAAAGGAAGAAAGAAAGCAAGAAAGAAAGAAAGACAGAAAGAAAGAAAGCAAGACAGAAAGAAAGAAAGACAAGACAGACAAGACAGAGAGAAGGAAAGAAAAAAAGAAAAACAAGCGCAAACTTGGGAAGGGAGAGTCCTGCCATGTTCAACCACAAATGGGAAAGAAAACACTTGTCCCTTCTGGAGACTTTCTGGAGGGTGGTCTGGGTATTTTCCACAAACGGGTGTCAAAGGATTGAACTTCTTGGAGGATGTGTTTGTTTTTGTTTTTTGCCTGTGTTGGTTTGAAAGTGAGATGGTCATGACTGGCTAAAATGTTACTGTACATCTTTCGGCCATCGGCCTTCCCGGTGCTTGTTTTTAATTTCTTAAAAGGAAACTAAATGGGGATGGGCAAAAAACTATGGCCTCTCTCCCCATTAGACCATCCCCCCATTAGACCATCCACCCATAGACTCCCCCCCAAAACGCTAAAGGGTGTGCGATTTTTGTAGTTTGGCCGAAGAAAAAATAAAGATCAACCCTGAAAGGGAGAAATCGGACTTAGGTGGACCACCTCATTGGCCATTTCTATGGCGAGGCGCGGACGGGCATCCCAATGGAGGAACCCATGTGGCTCTAATGTTAATAGTGAACCACCGAACTCAAGCGGTTGGAGCACACACACAAACCCCCATTTGAATCCATCTTTCATATGAGTATGTGTCGAAACGAGGCTTCGAATTCCCACAATGGTGGCTCTCCTTTTGGTTCCCATTAAAAGCAACGGGCCCGCGAGACAAAACCGCACCCTTTTGGAGACGCACCAAGCATATGGGGAGGCTCAGCCTTTCTCCGCCTGCCTTTTGGCAGGCACTTTTCTCAGGAATTTCTCTCATTTGTGAGAAGTATTTCAGGGACGAGTGGCGCGTCCCGGGCCCCAATACAGGGCCCCTTGCAAGCACACATTTCCGGATGTAAGGGATTCGGGCGAATTTTTGTTTGGAGGTTGACAAGATCCAGCAAACCATCTTCTTGGAGGTTCCTAGGCAGGCCCCCGAATTCGGTCATCTCCGGTCCTCCCTCCCTCTTTGGCAAATAGGACATAGTAGATAGTGCCAGGTTTGGAACTAGCAGGGGACAGGACTTTTTACGGGGCACCCATGTGTGAGCGTGTTTGCTGCTTCCTGCTGCCTGCTTTGTTCTTTGCCCTTGGGTGGCACAAGATTGAAGACTGGGCGGAAGTTAGTACTGCTAGAAGTATTCCGGGAACTAGCTTTTGTGACTCAAACCTGTGTAGACACACAAACAACAGACTAGATTGTGCTTGTTTCGGGCCAAGAGGGCCAACCATGGTCTCCATTTTCTTTGCCAAACCTTGCCTTCAATCGCAGCGGGTTTGCTCATTGCAGGTCAACATCACAATACTGGGATCCTAAACATGGTGGTGATTTGCAAGGTGCAATGGGTAGCCTCAACAGCAACAAACACTATGCCAACATAGGATGTAGAAGCACCGGTCAAGCGATCTTGCCCTTGGCCCTCCCATGAAGGTTTTTCTTTCATGGTGTCTACAGGGCAGCTTTGCGCGGAAGCGAAGAACTCTCCGGACGCCGGGTCATTTGCCAATGCCCTCGCTGCGAGAGACGCCTCTTGGGGCCCTGAGAAATGGAGTCTGAGCCCGAGAGGAGCCATGGCAACTGATGCGGCTTCCTTTGAGGCGACCAAGTTCACTCCCTCATTCTAATGAGCCAATCGCGCCAGCAAGACAAACCTGGAAGTTGTACAAGGAGGCTACCCAAAAGGAGATTCCTCCTCCAAAACCCTCCTGTCATTTTTTGGTCCATCGGCCACAGTCTCGGGCGACAGCCCTTCAGGCTTTGACCGAGCAGGTCAATTGACATGAGGCGTTGACTTTATTTCGCACGTTTTGTTAGTTGAGAAGGACAGTTAAAACCGAGAAACTCTCTGAGGCTAACTGGTTTTTCTCGAACATATTGTTGAGTGTGTTGTTGACGGTCCTTTCCAGGTTGGTTTCAAGGGAAGCCAACAGGAACGCCGCAATAAATCATGGTCCGATGCTCTAAAGACTACCCCCTACTCCAAATACCCACTTTTCTAAGGTATTTTATGGAAAACCTGGTTTTTCAAGGTAAATACCTCCTTTTTTAGTAGAGGGTCGACATGATACCCTTAAGAAAGTGAGTATTTGGAGTCGGGGGTATGCCCGGACTGTTCGCCTGCGAACTCTGATCGCCCGTCCGATCGCCAGGATGGCAGGGAGGCTGATGTACATTCACATGTTGCCGCCAGGCGCTTGGATCGGAATCCTTATTAGGAAAAGCAAACATGTTGGTCGACCCCGGAACCCACCCGGGGTGGTTTGCTTTTTTCCCCCAAGGAGGGTGATTTGTTTCATCCCAGACGGTCATGTGAAAAGGACGAGCCACGTGGTCTTGCCCCCCCCCCCCCCCCCCCCCCCGAAAAGGGGATGGTCCAAAAACATTGCGGGACGGAGCTGGTGTTTTTGCGCCCACGCTCTTAGACCCAACCTGCTAGGTGCCACCCTGGATTTGGTTGGGTGCAGTTTCGTGTTTTCCTTTCGGTGAGTCTAAAAAGGGAGGTTCGAGTATGAGGGATGACAATGACAATGATAGTAATATGCAACCAGTTTTATGGTATTCAAAGTCCATTGATCACAGTATCAATAAGTAAACAAAATGTGTGTAAACCATTATGATTGATGACAATCACCATGTTGACGCATGGATGCATGTTTTGTTTTGTTTTTTCTCTCTTCGGACCATGGCCAGCAGATTTCGGTAACCTAGGTTAAGTTCCTCAAAAAGGACAGCACAAGGAGACAAGTGACAAGCCATTTCGTAGTTGCCCAGACCATTTGGCTGTGGCTCAAAAGAGTGTACAAGAATGGCACCTTGGTAAAGGGAACCAAAGACTGAAGCCTGCGTAGCCCTAGCTCTTTAGTTTTGAGCCACACCCATTTGTGTATCATTCAGCCTCAGCAACAAAAAGAGGCGCTGCACCCTGAAACGGTTCATGTCACGCGCGACAGCTATCCGCCCAAGCGTTTAGATCTCGCTGAGGTCTTGCCAGTTCGTTGCGATGTTTTTCCTGACCTTGGATTGGCTGCCGCTCGGCTTGCTTGACTGGCAGCTATCGCTGCTGGCCCGTTTGGATGGTGATGCTGCAAGGACTAAAGCTTCAGGAGTGATTCATAATCAGTAATTTGGTTTTGGTCAAGCTATAGCGAGTGTGTTGGGTTCCGTCGGGACAGTTGAGTCCTTTCTTGCCCCTCCCTATTTTCGATCAATGAAGTATTGCCCAGATCGTATGACAGCCTAGGCCACCGACAGTTCCCCTGTTGGAAGGACCGATTTGATGCTTGGTTGTACTGATTAATGGGCCCCACAGTTATTAATCAGTGGCTCCCCTTAGAAGAAAGGAATGCGACGAAACAAGGGGAATTGTTGAATCACAAGTGGAGGGTTGTTAAACAGGGGTCAAAAGAATTAGCCTTGCGTGTTGACTTGGCGCGCCATCCTGGCTTTCTGTTTGCCACACATTCGACAGGCATTGTACATAGTGGGTGGACTGAGGCGTGTTGCATGTATGTCCTTCCACCCTTACGGGGGCCAAGGCCTGTGTTGAACACGTCGCGAACTTCATTTGGGTTTATTTGGGTGTGACTTTGTGAGGGTACCTTTTTTGCCTTGGTTTCAAGGGAAACCAAAAGGGCAACCGGCATTTTTCTGTACCCCCCCCCCCCCATTCTGCACCACGCTTTTTGGTTTTGACGAAAGGTCGTTCGGGGAGTACTGCCTTCATGTCGACAGGTTCAGTGGTGGCACTTGTGAACATGCACCACACGGGGTTGGTCGTTTGTTGCCAAATCTTCGATCACCTTGATGTGCTTTGAATGTGTCTGTTTGTTTGGTTGGTGGTTTTGGTTGTTTGCTTGTGTTGTGCATGTATACCTTAAACAGGACAAGCCTCAAGCACGGGAATGGCCAGCCCTGGTTTCGAGCAGAAACAGCACCCCTTCCAGCAGCACAGGCCAAACCCAAAATGAACTTGAGATCTTGGAAGCATACAACGCTGCCAAAAGCATGGTGCCATTGTTGGATCCCCGTTCATGGTGCTTTTAGTGCCACTGGAATTCCAAACAGGGCCCACTGCGTGTGGGATAACACATACAAATGCAACTGTAGTTGTTGACTCGGACATTGAAAATAAAGCATTTGTTTAGGGAACATTACCCATGACCGCTTCCCGAACAAGAAGATGGTTTGTGTTTCGTGATGCGTGATGATTGTTTTCATGGTGCCATACTCAACGTGGAGATCCACCAACACGTGATTCCTATTGTTAGCTCTTGTTTCCAAACAAAAGACCCACAATCTGTCAGTTGTTGGTCTTGCCATTGCTCTTTTTGACGTGCTTTAGCATGTAATTCAGGTGGCTAGCCACCACTTGCCAGCCACTGTTTCTGACGAGAGCACAGCATGTTAGTTGGCCTTGAGAATCCTTTTTGACCCGCAACTGGTTGAGGTGTAGCGGATTCAAGATCGAGCTGTGTAGCACGCCGCAGAACTCCAGGCAGGAAGTGTGGATGTCAGGGCCCTGTTGGTGTTCCTTCATTGACCAGCAAGCATTTAACTCGACACGTACCATGGCGTCACGTTGCCGACCATCGCTCCTTGCTCTTGTGGTGTGCACTACGGATTGGGGTTCCTCGCATGTTGAACATTGACAACCCAATCTCACTTCCAGGGACTCCCAATTTAAGTATTTCCCAATCAGAGCCACGGAAGGTTCGTGTCCCCATGACTTGGTTGCATGACTCTGGGGTCATTTTGTTGACGGTTTCTGGGGGTTATCAAAGTCATTTTTTTCCCCAGCACTGAGTGGGTGACTTTGATCATGGTAACAAAATGGGGTTATGGGGACCCCTCAAAAATCGAACCAAAACCACTCATAACCCCCAGTTTATCTCCTCCAAAAGTGATCATTCCCCACTAAACCCAGTTGGACACCCGCCGAAGAATACACTGGGGGCGTGACTTGGGTTGACTGCATTGCCATGTGGGCTCTGAAGCCTAAAAGCCTCAGATCTGTACTTCGCGACCAAAGGCTCAGCTGGCCCAGTGGCGAAAAAAATCCGCCTGACGCGGGCCTTTTGGGGCGTTCTCCCCCGTTTCGGGGTTTCCCGTTTCGGGTGCCCATGTTTAGTCGTGGCGCCAAAAGGTCAAGCTTTGTCCCAAGATTTTCGTTGACAGGGTCGATTGGGAGACGGCTGCTGTGCTGAGTATGAAGCCACCGGACAAAGAAAGAGACAGCTTTTTTTGCGCGGCGCACGTCCTATTGGGGGGGGGGGGGTCGAATCCCGCCGGACACATTCGCCGTTGGTTGCTTTTGGCCATCCATATCCATTTCGACTTCCCCTCCTTGATGTTCCTGCAAATTCCAGTTGCAAACTCGCGAAGTCAAATAAGCCCCATGAAGGGTTCACGGGGGTTCCTTATTTGGATGGGTCAAAATGTTCAACTACCAAAAGACTCAGGGACCAGAAACCACCTTTAAGCAAGGGAACTAGCCCCATTATTTCGGGGCAACAACCCATTTGATGGGTATCGACGATATCGACTGCTGGACGACGCATGCGAAAAGCTGCCCCACGCGACTCGTTGACAGCAGTTGCACGGACATTGGCTGCACATTCTTCCTCGATAACCAGCACTGGGGTAGACTTAGGATACATTTTACATTTTACCAGTGACTCAAATTGAAGCAAACAATAAAACATACATTCTTTAGCTGGGCCTAATGCTTATCATGATCAGAGCAGCCGCAAATCCAACGGCGCAAAGAGAACGCATGATTATTTGACCATTGAGGACATGGGAACACTTGCAAACCCCTTTTCTGTAAAAAGGATAGATTAGCAAGAGCGGGGTTCTAAAGAAAGACAAAGCCATGTGTTGTTGGTAAACCTCAAAGAGTCCTCCAACTTCTGGGATTCGCCGTTTCTTCAGGGAGGTGCTCCTGTGCGGGGCAGCTGGGGTGTGGCCCCCAGCGAGCCGTCAAGCGGATGCGGAAGTCAAGCCTCCCCTGTTTTTGTGTTTTGTATTTTTTACACACCCATATGGGTGTGTTCCTTGGCGTCTTCGGCACTTTCGTTTCAAAACTTGCAACGGACGTGTTGGCCCCCTTACGTTTTGACAATCACACGTGGCAAGATTTAGTACATCTGTACACCTGCGGTGGTGGTTTGTGGTGGTGGTGGTGGTGGTGGTGAGAGTAAGGTACCAAAAAACGAACAGACCCATATGGCTGTGGGTCAAAACCAATGGTACCATTTTGGGGTAGGTGCACCACCCATTCTAGTCTGTTTTAGTTGGGATGTTGACTGGGGGTACGGGCTTTTGACCCATGGCCATATGATGGCTTCCCCTGATTGCCTACTGAGGTAGCTGGAAGCATTGGGTTTGGCTTTGTTTTTTGGGAACAATTTTCCAGAATCTTTGCAGCGATTCCACCGCAAGTCAGCCTCCCTCTCGTTGGTGGTTCAGGAGGGGTTTCCCATGTACCTTTTTCAATGTGGTTTAAATCTCAAACCACGAATCCAAACCACCAATTAGAAAGAGGCTGAGTAAGGGTCGAAGACCCCTCCACTGTAGAGCACGTTCCCGACCGCGGAGACCTTGACGCACCCTTCGAGGATTTCAGAACCGTTGGGAACCTTCCAGCAAACGTGGAAGCTGCCAATTTTGTAGCGAGCTCACCGATTCGGGGTATAACGAGCTCAACGTGATAACGGTCCTTTACTTGCAACCTTGATTCTAACGAGCTCAACGTGATAACGGTCCTTTACTTGCAACCTTGGTTCAGCTTTCGGACATATTGTAAAATTTGCAGATGGAATATGGAATGATTTCCTTTGGGCTTCCCATGGAGAAGCAATTTGTGTACCCTTCACGGGTCTTTGGCGTCAAAGAGGAGGTTGTTTGCCGCATCCTCACAATCCCAGTGGATAGCAACCATTGGATCCATTTTCCTTTTGGTTTTGAAAGGGTGGCAAGGCTGAGGGTACCACCCCCCCCCCCCGCAAAAAAAGAAAGAAACGAAAAGAGAAAGCAGAATGGTTACTTTCCCTTTGGCTTTCTTTAGACCAACCCCCAAATCGGGCATCCTCCCCCAGGCTAACATGGAAGCTCCCAGGGTCCCTTTAAAGAAGACTTGGTTCCAGAGACCTTCTGGGAGCTTCCGGCTGTTAGTCCGAGGGAGTGTACCATCCAACAAGACGACTCTGATCGATCCACGGAATCGAGATCTGGAACCCCGCCTGGCCCGCGGTGCCCATCACAGTCCGCAGCTGAGCCGCCGTGGCTCGTCCTCTTCTTTTTGGGAGTTGATACTCGTTTTGTGGGGTGGCTTTGAAGGAAAACCCGCTTTTTTCGGTGAAACCCCCTGAACAATGACCCAAATCCCTAACTTCGTGGTTAGACTGGACCATCGATCTGAAAACATCGCCTTTGTGCGCCCCATATTTGGGCCCAAGTTGCACGCGGCACCCCGTAAATGCAACCATTCGTGAGGACACGAAAGGCAATCAGTAGCCATGGGTGTGTTTGTCAATATTACGAGTGAGCCAACCATCACGATGAACTACTTTTTTCCTTGCAAGTTCCGGAGGTCACTTTGTCCGCTCCCTTTTGTTGGGCAAACACACCCATTTTGCTGGAAACCTCTATTGGGACACCTACGTGCCTTGCTGGTTCTCGGGGAAGGGAATGACCGCTAGGAAGGATCCCTGATAGTTTACTTGGCGATCTGGTTCATTCCCAAACTGCTCAGACGCTCTACCTGGCTTGGGGGTAATCATGAAGGCCCCTCGAGCCGTGATTCGGTCGGAATTCAAAAGTCGGGGTTGTGCCAAACCGTTCATTCGAAAAGATACCCTTGATTTCCATCCTCTCTATGGGCGATTAGTAGTTCGATATATCATTAAAATCTTGACCACAGCTTAAAGGTTCCTACCTGCCTTCGTTGTGCTTGAGGGGTTGAACACAGCAGCTGTTCAGTCACACGGTACGAGCCGAGTCATGTCAAAGAAAGGCTGTTGTTTGAAGCCACTTGGTGGCCAGGTGCTCAAAGAGGAGGCCTGCAAGAGGCATGTGAGCCAAAACCCCAGAAATGGCTGTGTCTGAAAGTACAATACAGAGACCCAGATCCAACCAGTTCGGGGGTTGAGTCTGTTTCGTCAGGTGCACGGGGTCATTGCCAAAACCCCGACTATCAAGGTGTCAGCCCCCAAAAAGGCTACCCTCCCACCAGCCAACATGGAAGTGCACAGACCCCTGTAGAAAGACTACTTACTTTCCTTCTGGAAAGGTCCTTTTTGCACTTCCATGTTAGTTGGTAGGAGGGTACCCTAAAGACAGACCCAAATCCCACCTTTGCACATCGAGTCTGTTTCACGTCCAAGGTGTTCATCATCCTGGGCAGCATCTCCATGGTCTCCGTGAGCTACCTGCGGCCCCTGGAGCAAGGCGCATGCGCACTGCGAGGGCACGGGTACCAGGTACATGACCATAGGGTCGACCCCACACCCATGTGATTTGGGGAAACAACGCATCAGGTTCTGCACATCTTTGTTTTGCGGCGTTACCTCAAATTTTGGCCAAGTAGATACCCGGCGCGATGTGTACATTAAGTAGTGCACATATCATATATATATATATATGCTTTACATATACATTCACATGATGTGACAATAGGGGTGTGTCTTAGTGATGGTACCCTATCGTAGTTGTTTTGTGTTGAAGGATTTTCTCATGAGGATGAGACAACACAATGCATAATGTATATAGCATAGTTATACATGTTGCTCCTGGTTTAATGGTCATCGACCTCTGAATATGGGGTTTTAACAGGCTCCCTTTTTTTAAGCTTCCTTTTCTTTAACCTTTGAAGCCTGCTTGGGAACCCTCTGCAGGAAGTGTTTTTCTATCCCTCAGGAATCCGTTCTCACCCTGCTATGTTTACCCCCCCCCCCCCCGACTTTGCTTTTTCACCCTCGGCCCAAGCTTAGCCAACCCTAAGCCAACCAAAAACCCACCCAACAACCTGACCAACCCCAACCAACCCTAGGCCCACCCTAAGCCAACCCGAACCAGCCCCGAACCATTCTAAACCAACCTTAAACCAGGAATAATTGCACACAACCCACCATGAACCAACTCCAAACCGATCCTCCAAGCTAACCTGAACCCAAACCTACACCCAGCCGAAGCCAACCAATCCCCAACCCCAACCAGGCCTAAACCATCCGAAAACATCCTAAACCAGCACTGAACCCACCCTAGACCAACCCAAACCAACTCCAAGCAGCCTAAGCCAAGCCACCCTAAATCGACCCTAAACCCACCTAATCCCTCGCTCAGTGCAGTTGCTGCAGGCTTCGGCCAAAGGGTTAGCAAAGAAAAGAGGGTTAAAAGGATAGAAAGAAAGGTTGGAGGGTAAAGAAAGAAGGGGGAGGGTTAAGAAATAATGGGCGAGAGGACAGTAGAAAGGGTGAAGGGTTGGAAATAAAGGGACGGGTTGAACAAAACGGTTTGGAATGTTGAAACCAACAAAGGCTCCCTGGTTTAAATCGTGCACAAATGGGGAGGGGTGTCCCAATATTGGAAACATCTAGCTGCTTACCACATGAGACGGGCCACCTTCATTGGGTCTCCGGCTTTGATCTGGTGTTGTTCTTTTTTTGGTGAGGGATCTGACTTGAGTCACGAATTCGATGAACTAGCAAGCAATGGGGATCGGGGGAAAAAGACACATCTATTACTTGCCTGGTTGGGAATTTGATCCTTAAGGGGATTTGTAACCCACCTCATCCAAGGGCGCTTCCCCTAGCTTCCTCCAAACTGGCCTTTGATTCTTTCGCGCAGCGAGCTGTCCCAACCTGAAAGCGCCACCAGTTTTCCGCAGGTTCTGAAGACACCGCTTTGGGGAAATCGGCCCGATTTTGCCGCGAGCTGGCAACATCTTCCCGTTTACTGATTTGTCCAGGCGCCCATCATAGACGTATCTCGGTTTCCCTGTTCCAACTTCATCACAACTGACAACCCAAAGCTGGACGGAGTTGAACCGTGTCACAGCGGCCCGACAAAGCTGTCTACAATCGTTTGTTTAAAGTTTCTTCATGGGTAGGTCCTTGAGTTGAGGGGGCGTGAACACCAACAAATGGCTCACCGTTCTTGGGATTCCCGCATTTGATCTAGCACAAAATGAGGGTAGAGGAAGTTTAGGGGATATCCCCAACCATCAATCAGTACAGAAATGTGGTTGTGAGTTTGAGCAGGGGGACCCCTTTGGTGGACATAACTTAGGCGGGGATCCACTTCCACCACCCACTTGAGTTCGGCGGTTGCCTCTTAAAATGCATAGCCATGTATGCGTGTTTTGGGTTGAGGGCACCCTTAGGTTCTTTTTAACAAGGGACGGGGAAACTCTTGCTCGGGGTTCCCCAAAACGAAGTTGTCGGCGCTTTCGCTTGTTTTGCCACAGGAGTCGGGTAGACGCGCTTTGGGGTCCGGTCATGACCTTGGTCGCATGAATCTTCATGGCACTGAGCCTGCTCACCAACAGCGCCAAGAATCGGCTGCAGGCAACAAAACTCTGGCTCCAAATGGGTCAAGAAGGGAGCCGACATTTGGATTTCCTTTGAACATGGCAGGCCACTACCGCAGCCCGGCGACTCAGCGAGCGATGTTTGCTCTGTATTGGCGACTCAGTTTGACCGTCCTTTCCCAGGCTAGTTGGGCTCGGAGTGTTTCTCACAGGATTTCAGCCTTTGGTTAACCACCAAAAGACCAACTATGTTTAGGGGAGCTTGGCAGGCAACAATACATACGTAGAGCCAAAGTCTTCACAAGAGGTCCTGGTGCATAGAATCACCAGGCGCCCTTTTGCAGATACCACAGCTCACAAAAACACATGTACCCTTTGGCATACTGACATAGGGATCAAGATCCTTTGGGTGACAGAAACACCCAGCAACTTTAAATTAAAGTCTGCGGCTTGTGGGGTCGGCAATCCGCTAGATGTTTGGATTGCATGTTTTTGTTTCCGTCTCAAAAAAAAACAACGTAATAAGCTCGGTGCTCTTTCTACTCGTCGCACCACCCCGCAGCCCTTGCAGAGCTTCGTGGAACCCTGGTAAAACCCTAGTGGAACTCTGGTGGAACCCTGGCGGAACCCTGGTGGAACCCTGGTGGAACGCTGGCGGAACCCTGGTGGAACGCTGGTGGAACCCTGGTGGAACCTTACCTCAGGGCCGCCCCGGACCACCCCGGAGCCGATCTGGGCTGAGACCCCAAAGCTTTCAGCTGTCGGGGAATAATAATGATAATAATAGTAGTAATAGTAACACCATATAGACACTCTTCCATTTACCCAATAATTTCATTTCCTTGTGTGGTTAACATTAGGTAACCAAGTGCTTGCCAGCCTTCAAAAAACCAAAGGACGTTACCCAAATCTTTGTTTCTATTTACGTTTGGGTGCCATTTTGGGGATTTGACGCAGATGCCCCCATGAATGTAAATGCCTCCAAATGAACTGGAGCACGGTTTTATGGTTGTCCAAAGCAACCAAAAGGGCACCCCAGGTTTGGGTGAGTTGTTTTCTGCCAGGTTTCCGAGGGCAGCGCTGGAAATGCAGGGGGCCCTTCCCTGGGAACCGAAAGGAAGCTTCATTTGCCCTCCCCCGTGCTTGGCCGCCCTATTTTTGGTGATAGTTGGGTTATAAGCCCACGAGCTGGGGGTTAATAGTAAGCCTTTGGTTAGTAGCCTAGGTCCCCCAGTAAAAAAGGGGGAGGGTTCCCCCTACTAAAACAGACCACAGAAAAAAAAGAAGGAGGAAAACATCGGGTACCCTTATTGGAACCTCTCTACTGGAGGACCTAGTAGCTCCCTGCAACCAAATGGCTGTGGGTCAAAACCAATGGTACCATTTTGGGGTAGGAGCACCACCCATTTTAGTCTATTCTAGTGGGGATTGGGATGGGTACGGCGTTTTGACCCATGGCCAAATTTAGGAGGCCAAGGGGCTTGGAAGGCCAAGCTGGCGGCAAGCTGAATGCGCCGCAGCTCGGGCTCCGGCTCGGCGGATGGATGGCGAGGTGGTCGCCGTCAATGCCGCGGCCAGCGAGTGCAACCGACTCAGGCGGGGCTCACCCCGCCGCCGGGTCCGTTTTGAGCTTCGAAAGCAAATCCGGTGGATGACCAAAGGACCAAAGAAACAAACACCCAAGTAGGTTTTGGGGTTCCATTCAAATAGGCTTAGATGGTATCCCCAACAGCAGTCCTTAGCCTTGAGCCGCTCTGAGCCGCTTTGGGACTTGATTGGGCAGAGACTTCATAGCGTCCAGCGGTTGAGAAAAAGTGACAAATCCAAATGATTGCAAACGGTGGCTCCATGTTCATTTGCAGGTGGGTGCTGAACGGTTTCTGTTGGTTAAGTGTGTACCTCCTGACGGTCGGGCCAACTGAGAGCAAAGGGCCCCGTAGCAGCGCAGATTACTTTGGCATATCACCCTAACAAGCCCGTCGAGTCGCCGTTGAATGTGCAGGCCCCCAGCAGCAAACACTCTAACCATCTCAAACAAAAGCCTTCTGTTGTTTCTGATTTCTGGGGTTGCTTAACAACAACTATGTGGTCTTTGGTTTCCATTTGTTTCTTTGGCTTCCTGTCTTCAGCTAGAAAAAGTCACTCCAATCGGTCTGGGGAGACACCCTGGCAACAAGATTTCCCATGCTGATTCTCGCTGACAGCTGACGGCCCAACCAGTTTCCGCACGCCCTCTTGGTCCGGGGGCTCCTGTGTGTGTGTGTGGATTGGTTTTGTCGGGTTCCAACCGGTTGGAACCCCCCAGACCCTCAACCCCCGAACCCGAACCAGTCCCATCCCCCAACCAACCCTCCCCAAGCCCTAACCCCCTGCCCCGCTGCCCCGCTGCCCCTCAACACTCAACCCCCAACCCCCCGCTCCAACCCCCAACCACCCGCGTGAGAAACGCTTTGGCTTGGTTTCCAGGCCAAAACGTTGAGCTTGACGATTTGGCCTCTTGTTTCTTTAAATGTTCAGTTTGCGAGCCGGCTGCGAGGCCCGCGTGCGTTTGGCTTTTCAATTTGCGAAGCGCGATGTCCGAGAAGGCCTTCAATTAACTTGCCTCGAGGCTGATGCTGCTCCTTTCTTGCACAGGAAGGCATACTCTTTGTGCGGAGGGCATACTCAGTACATGGATTCCTGCTGTCAAGGGGGACAGCCAGTAAGGACGATCGTGTCAGGCAAGACAGCGTGCTGGACATTATTTGCGCCAATATTTCGACACCTGAAGCAGCGGCCTCGGCTTGCGTCAAAGGGTTTCCGTATGAAGCGCTGAAGCACATTCGCACTTCAGCATGCCAACACTGATGCCGCAACTCCCTGTCAGATGCTTACGACGTGAAGAGTGAAAGTTCACCCTTTGATTTCAGCTGCTTCCTCTGGCCTTCCTGCAAACCCAGAGTAGGTGGCAACCGAGTAGTATCCTGTCAAAACAAGTTCAACACTCAGCTAACCCCGCAAAAACCCCCGTCCCCCACCCCACAAACCCCAAGTCAAGGCCCCGCTCCCGGTTCGCGGGTTTGCGGCAGGCGCTGGGGCAGTGCTCTGGCGGTGTTGGCTCAGATCCAGCGCAAGGCCCGACGGATTTCGTTGCGGAGCAGAAAATGCCCTCCCCCCCTTTGCCCCGGCTCCCGCCAACTTGGCGGCTCCCAGCCAGCCGCGAATATGGCACGTTTCGGGTGGATTCAGGTGCCAGGTTTGGCCCGATCTGGAGTCCCCGAAGCCCAAAACAAGTGGAGCCAAAAACGACACCGAAGCTCCTCAAAACGGTTAGGGTTGAAGTCAAAAGGACGTTGGGCTGCCAAACAGGCTGCCGGATTTGTGGCACACGTCGTGGCCACCAGCCTCCATCGTTTGTCGGGAGTGGGAAAGACACTGGCCTCAGAAACCCCAAGCTGAGGTCCCCAAAAGGTACCGGCCAGGATTCCCTCCATCTGATGTTTTCTTTGCCCGGTTGGAGAAGATAGCGAGGATGGTCGATGAATCGCAGAGACCCATGTTGCCCGTCCAAGGCTTGCAAATACGACGACCCTTGCGGCCGCCTCGATTAAAATAAGAGGAAGACATTTTTTTGGTGGGCGGGGAAGCGGGGAATGCCGCAGTTTACCATAAGGTCGCCCGCCCGAGACTCGGGAATTAGGAACCCGTTTCTGACGGCAGCAGCAACAACCAATAACAAGCTCACCGATTCGGGATGATTGGGGGGGGGGCGGTGGGAAAAGGAGAGAAGTTGCCAATGATCGCTTACCATAAGGGGTCTTCCTCATATAATATACGGTGTGTGACTAATGGCAATGTTTGCCCAAATCGGCCGATGGGAGTTCTCTTCCCAACTTGCCAGCCAGGGAAAACCAAAAGGACAATGGATCGAAGGGCCACTGCTAAATAGTGGCAACTGGGATCACTGGAAAAGAGCAAGGCAATGTGGGCGTGCTGTTTGACTCCAAATATTCTATTTCGTTTGGGCGGCTGGGAAGTGACAGACGGAGATCTTCGCTTTTACAAAGTCATCTGCAACCCCAGATCTGGCTGAATCCTTGCAAGGGTCCTGGCACGTGTCTCTTTCCAGCTTGCTTAAGCAGCGCCTTTGTCGATCTTGTTTCCTTGCAGTTCGGCGATAGGGAGCTCTGTCTAGAACATTCGGACAACAAGAAAGAAGCTGGCTTTGAGCGGATCCTGAAATATGACCGACCCCCAATGGCGGAAACATCGCTCAACAGCTTCCTTCGGTTTCCCGCCACCTAATGTTCTGCCCTGAAGCAAGCATCACCTTCTGGCTTGTGGTTTCCCTTGGACAAGCTCGTAGCATAGCCGCCATGCACAGGAAGTTCTGCCGAAGGGCTCCTTTTGGTTTGTCCACCCAACGAGGGGTCAGCCTCAAAAACTAGACGCACCCACATCGCCTTGCTTCCCAGGCTACTATAGGTAACCCTTGGATCCATGTGCCTTTTGGTCAAAGGCTGGCAAGCCTTGGTTCAGTTTGGTAAACATATCCACTAGGTTAAGTACAATTGAGCGACGTTCGGTCGCAACTGGGTTTAGAACACTGCTCAATCGCCCTTCTTCCAACAATCATGGAAGTAAGCCTTGGGGCTTCCCCGATAGGACAGCTTTCGTCTTCCCAAACCCTCCCATCGTGAGCTTCCATGATCGGAGGGAGGGAAGTAATCCTTTGGTACGCTTTTTACAGGCTCTACAGGGGTGGATCCACAAACTTCACATCCAAACTTGTTTCTAGACACCCTGGCTTTTTGGAGTCCAGGGCTGAATTCTGGATATGCAATTCAATCTAAATCCCCTTCACACATAACTGGTTTACTACAGGTAAATGGGCCAAGGAAAAGCCAGCTAGCAGCTACAGGAAATGGAGTCCACAGTCCATGTTTCCCATTATCCTGTAGATGGAGTCTTCAGATCCAACTGGTTTACTACGGGTAGATGGAATCCGCAGGCCTGTTGTTCTAGGGGAAGGCTTCCCCATTCTTTCCAGGGATCCTTCTTTTCGGGAAACCCTCAAAAACCCAGAGGAAACGGATCCGGTTGTTGAAAAGAACGATGGGTGAAAAAGAATGGGGAATCAACCCTTAGAGTTGGAGGCTGGATATAGCATTAAAAATGCCTTGTTTCACATCCAACTGGTTGAATACAGGTGAATGGAGTCCATAGGCCTGTTGTTTGACCCGGAACCAGCTGAACGATGGCGGTCACCGGGGTTCACCGGTGACAGACCCAAAAAACCGGAACTCGCCAGGCGCTGCGGCCGTCCGCCTCCAGCTCCAATGTGGCCATCGCAGCTTTCAGGAGAGGGGCCTCCGATCTGAAGGCGTCGTTTGGCTCTGCCGTTTTTTAGAGTTGGCAGCCCTTCTTTGGCGGTTTGAAAGGGAATTCAACGGGGACACCACATATGTGTTTTGTTTTGTTTTGGTGCTTTCTTTTCTTTTTTGGGGGGTCCCCTAAAAAGATAACACCCATTTGCTGCTGGACTTGACACTTTGGGAAAACCGGTTTAGTGGCAACCAACAGTGGGCCAATCCACTCAGGAAGTGAGTAAAACCCACATCACCCCAAGATCAGGAGTTTGTTTAATCCCTCACATATGCCAAGGCTTACATGCCCCTTGCCCGGAGTACACCCTGAGTAAAAGTGAAGAGGTCTGGTGGATTTCTTGTGGCCGCTTCCAGAGCCCGAAATCGTCCAAGGCTTTATCCGGCAACCCCGGAGGGAATTTGTCAGGCCCCTGGTCCGCAGGTGTGAGAAACCCTTAGATAAACGACATAGGCTTGGCATTTTGCAGCCCAGCTTTGTGTGTTGCACAAACTTTGCCCTTGACGAAACACGATGTTCGAACATCGAACAATGTCTGGTAATCAGATGGGTTTGGGATTGAAGATTGACCAAGCATACTTAGATGACCCCGGATGTTTGCTGTGCGATTGGTCTTGAACCCGTTTTCTCGATCCCTAGAACTCCCGCTAGCGACGTAGCGATGCTGAGTGGGAGTACCCGGTTTTGGGTGCCCCTCAGAGCCCCCGAGACGCGTTGCGATAGAATGGTTAAGCCATGGTTTATAACAGTTTATAATGGGCGATACGCAGAAGAACTTGTTTTGGGAGACTTATAAACCCAAACTACATCGTGATGATATCGGAGAAACACGTGTGTAGGTTTCTAGCCATGGTGACACTCAAAAGGCATAGTGGCATACCCAGGAGCCAGTGGCAGCGCGTCCTGCATGCGCACAAAGAAGCGCTGGCGGAGAGTCTTTGTGACGTGGTCTCCCAGCAACGCGGCCGATATTGGCCGATTTGTCAGAGGGCATCAAGATGATTTCAACACGGGGAGCCCCAAGATGGAGGGAGGGTTTTCTTTGGTACCCCTAGCAACCCAAAAGGGGGGTCATCAAAAAATAGATGCCATTTGCAAGACACCGTGCAATTCCGCTTTCTCGGGTGTTGTTTGAAGGCGGCGTTTCCTTTAACATCAGCTGCCAGACAAACAAGAGGGCGCTCTTTTTCCCGTGGCTGGAGGTCTGGGATGAAGCAATTTGGCCATTGTGTGAAATCGGAAACGAAATGGAGCTGTTTGAATCTCGAAACGGTTTGCGTTTTCAAGGGCTCCGTGCAGTTGGGGGGGGGGGTTATTTACCCAGCAACCCTTCTCGGTATATAGGTAGAAACCACCAGGGAGTCGACCCCACCCATGGGTGGCCCCCTTTTGGCTCGTCCCTCTTTTTCGGCAGAAGCAAGTCCCCTCCCTTTTGGGCGGAGGAATACGGCGCTGGGAGTCCTCAGCTGGCACCGCTCCCTCGCCTTCCTGGCGCATCTTGCCGTGCAACGCCTGGCCTCCGATGCCGTGACGCGGAATTTGGGTCTGAGGAACCAGGCGAGGGCTTCGAGGGGGTGGGGGGGTGGCTGAGGGTTCTTTGTTGGCTTTGAGGGGTTCAGGCGAGGGCAGCGTTCAGTGCACGTAGGTTTGGTTTTGCAAAGAGTGGAGTGTGGTGGTTTTGAAAAGAGTGGAGAGGCCCTTCCTCAAAATATGGAACTGGATCATTTTGGAAGACTGATGTCCCTGCACAATGGCCTTCTGGAAGTTTCGATGCAATCGCCTGAGCGAGTGCACCAATCATAATCGGATCCTGAACTTTGCAAGACGATTGGGGGGGGATTGCATGTTTTGGGTGTGTGCTGTTCAGGGGTCACTGGCAACCTTGGAGGGCAAGCAATTGCGCTCCAAGCAAACGGGATGGGAACTTCCGCTTGGTTGCACGCCACTTTTCCACTTCCTGAGTTGCTGCACTTTAGTAACTTTTTGAACGAAGACCATTCTGGCGGTAAATGCGAACTTCCTGCACTTCCGTCACTTAGGCTTGGACCATTTTGGCGGTAAATGCAACGTCCCTGGACGTTTTTTGGCCAATCCACTCGCCACTCACAGGCGGACCGCTGGCTGTGGGCCCTGGAACTGTTGACCACATCTTTGAGTCGCCGCCTGGAAGTGACCCTGCGCCTCGATCCGGAAGTCGGGTTTGGGGGGGGTGGGGGGCCCAAAAAACAACCCCTTGGGTTGTCTGAACCTGGGTTTTTCGGGCATGGGATCGGAAATGGACATCAAATGGTGGCGCCCTCTTACTTCAAAAGCTCAAAAAGGGAATTTGAAGAAGGGCTCCTGGGTTCCTCACTTCCCAAGTTGACTGGCCGAAAAAAGTTTGAACTTTTCATTTGCCACTAAAATGGTCTTTCCAAAAAGTTTAAAGTCCACCAACTCAGGAAGTGAGGTTCATTGCAGTAAGACGTCCTTAAATTGGCAAACACGTCACACTGAACACTGTTCTATGGACCCGACACAGTGAAAATCTGACACAGTGAAAGGTACAAGCCCCGCGACCCCTAAGACTAGACTCACTTGGAACATGGTCATGCTGAAATGTCCACCTGAAAGTGAGTAAATCAACTGTTCAAGCCTTTGGCCTTAGCCTGCCACATTCACCACAAGTGTTGGTGTGATTTGTTTATTTATTTATTTTGCCCTTCTCTGTTTTTTTTTGGGGGGGTTTTGGGTTCCCATCCCTTTAAAGTCCACCAACCAGAACCACAAATCGAAGACAGAATCGGATGCATCGATCGTTTGTTTTCCCCTGCACATCGAATCTGATTGATGGGATCCCTACATGAGAGGGGGGAAACAAAAAAACAAAAAAGCAACGAACAGTTCAGACCACGAGCTTAGGGTCACCTACAACACCGCCCTGGGCCTCCTACCCTGGCGCCTCGGCGCCGCCCTGCAGCGCGTCCCGCGGCGCTTCTCAGGGCGGACGTGGACGGCGGCCATCGGCGCGCTGGGCGGAGCGCAAGGCGTGAGGCCGGGGACGGTGGCCCCCGGGGAAGGTGGGGCTGGGGTGGTCTCAGGTGGGAAGAGCTGTCCTTGTTCCAGGTCTAGGTCCCCCAGTGGTGGAGGTGGGAAGAAAATTGGTCCTCTTTCGGGTCTAGGTCCCCCAAGGTGCCCTTCTTTACCATTTCTTTTTTGGAGGAGGGTTACCCTTTTTTGGGGGAGGGTTTCCCTACTAAAACAACAGAAAAAAGGGTACCCTTATTCTATCCTTCTACTGGAGGACCTAGAGGTTTTGGGAAAGCTGCCCCAAAAACCTGGGGAGTCAAGAGTTATAGGTGTCCTTTTCGTTTTCTCGGGTGATGGTGGGTTTCTCTGGTTTCGATGGGTTCTTATGTCCCTGTTGAGGGAAATCCATCTGTTTTTGTCAGCGGTCACCTATGGTTGGAGCCCTTGAAATGAGTGAACGGTCCTCGAAAGGCAAGTTGAGTCGATTTTTAGAGAGGGGCTTGTCCTGTTTAGACCTCCTTGGAACATCCTGAAATATGAGGCCCCAAAGTGCTTGTCTTCCATTGCTTAAGAATAGGTTTGCCCCTTTTTTTAAAGGGAATCCATCACTACTGCAAATGGAAGTTGTCCTTTCCGGACATGGGCCGTAAGAGTGTTGTGTTCAACCTGAGTATGCCAAACTTGTCCCAAGACACATGGCCACCTTCCTTTTGAGCGGGTTCTCAAAATCCCTAGTGGGGAGCAATTCCCGAGTCAACGCGAAGCCAACCGATTGCCGAAGTTCACTCACACACACACACACACATCCATACGAGTGTTGCATCCATTGGGGGGATTGCAATTAGCAGCCATTACTCGCCTGAAGATTGAGATGGAACCAGCACTGATTGACGCTCCAGCAAGAGTTCTGATACACTTGAGGGTTGTCCGCTCAGGAAGTGAGGTTCTGCATCATTTTTTGAGATACCTGGATTCCGTTGTCCGAACTACCGGTACACTACCGACGGAAAGCCTCATAAGGAGGGGGTTTGAGCAGCTGGGTGTGTTCGACATGTTAAATGAGCTGAGACCCAACTCTGATGCTGCCCCATTTCTAAACTCCTCATCCAGAAGCGATATGTTTGGAATCTGTATTGGGGTATCGCCAAGCACCTAGCCTTTGAGTTTTAGCAAGCTTCGATCTTTATGTCGGCAGCTTTCTCCCTCATTTCGGTAGACCACTGGCAAAGCAGCTGACTTTTAGCCACTTGCTCAGCCTATACTGTGGGTGGACGAAATCCTGCACTTCCTGAGAATCCCTGGAATCATGAATCCACTGTAAATGCCAACAGACGATGGCTTCCCATGGCCTCAAAGTGGTGCGAAGGGGTTTTGTCCATCAGTAGGTCTTGGACCGACCGCTGCAACTGCAACGAGTTTTCCCCTTTTTCAAGTCGACGCTGTCTTTGCGCTCGCGGCAGGTGGCGCAGCGCGCTGCGCCTCTGGGCCTCGGCTTCGGCGGCGGCCGCGGCGGCGGCCGCCGCCTCCGCGGCGGCGTCCGTGTGCGCGGAGGCGGAGGAGTGGCGAAGAGCGCAGGAGGTGCTCCTTGAGGCCCGGGGGATGTCTCAGAGCGGGAGTAAACCTAGGTCCCCCAGCCAGCTGCCCTTTCTCACCCCTTTTTTTGGGGAGGGTTCCCCTACTAACGTAGACTACAGAAAAACCAAATCGGGCACCCTTATTCTAACCTCTCTACTGGAGGACCTAGCCTAAGCCGGACTCCTGGAGTTCGTGGGATGTTAGTCACTTTTTTTTGGCTGGCTGGAGACGTTTTAGTGGCAAACCAAAAGTTTGGCTTGTTTGAAAGTTTGTTTTCTGGCCAGTCCACTCGGGAAGTTAGAAATTGAATGGTGCACTTTGACGATGACACAATTTGTCATGATGGGAGTAAGACATTGGTAATTGTTTGGCGACTTACATGACTTCACTCCTGAGTGTCTGGACTTCCTGGTTGGGAAGACTTGGGTACACAAGCAGCTCGGACTTGTTTTGGCCACTCAGGAGCTGAGTTAAAGTTTGCATTCGGGCCAACATGGGTCGCTTAAGCATCACCCTTTGGGTCAAAGTTAAGATACGCGTGCTCGTGATGGAGTGATGTGCAAGAGGGAATGTAGGCAGCCCCGGCCTTGACCTTTGGAGCGTCCGAACAATTCACTGAGATTCGGGCAATTCCGACCCAGAATCATTCAATCCACCAGGTGAATACACAGGGGATGTTCCCCCCCCCCCCGGTTTGACCTTTACGGGATCAAATAAAGACAGGTTACGCAAAGCAGATGCTATCTTTGGCTTTGAAGCACCTGACAATCTTTGACATTGCTTCGGCCTTATAGTACGAGAGAATCCCCCGTCGCATCCCCCCTGTTAACCTGGTTGCAACCATTGTACAGACTTCTATTATTGGGAGCTTGATTGAGGGCTGGTTTCGGATTTTTTGCCCGTCGGCTTGTCCTGAGTGCGAGAAACGGCCTCAACGTGGCACACGAAACCTGCAGATTGTGTGGGACATATCTTTTTGGTGGTTTCCCGAAAGGTCACCCCATGTTTACCGGACCTTTTGATCAACCCCCATCAACCCTTTGAGTGGAACCCCGCCAGGTGCACGCTTTGCAGAGCAACGTGGTCACGCGCACCTGCGCCGTCAACGCCTGTGTGAAGGGCACGCAGTGGGCCAGGGCCCTGCTGCTTGGCCTCCGGTCGGTTCCTGGAGTCCTTTTTTGGACCCAACAAATTTTCAAAATGGCTGGTCATTACCCAAAAGAAAGGGGTCATGACCAACCATTTTTATTTCGGGTCATGGAGACTCCAGGTTCTTGTTTTTTGACTGCCCCAAAGGCTTCAAGGTAAACACTTAGGTCCTCCAAGGGAAGCTTTGACACACCCATCTGTTGTTTTTCTGAAAATATTTTTTTTTTTTATTTTTATTTTTTGGTGTCCCTTAAATATTTGTTGTTGTGGGGGGGCTCATTTCGAGACATACCCCAGCCTGGGATACATTTATTTTGGGTTGGTCAAGGTGACTTAAACCCAGGGCTGTTGGACGCATTTTCCCACCCGAATTTGTTTTGTTCGGGCCTTAGCCCCCAGAAGGCTCTCAAAACCTTCTGCTGTTGTTTTTCATTTTCTTGCCTGTGCTCAGAAGGGAATGTGGATGAACCAGGGGTCCCCTTAAAGGAAACCACCAGTTGCATGGTTTGTTTCAGGGTCATTCCAACTCATTCCCTGCCAATCACAGCAGCAAGTTTTCCCAGCGGCAGTTGATATTTGCCTTGCCTTATGGGAGGGTGAGGAGGAGATTGTTTTGTTGGGCCACACCCAGTTTGGAGAGGGGTTTTGCATTTCATTGGCCAAGTTGGAGCTCCCTGCAAGAGCTTGAGAAACGCGCCGACGATGTGTGAAGTGCTATTTGGAGATTTTGGGGTAATGCACATTTGCACAACTTTGGACCCCCCCCCAAAAAAAAAAAAACGCGTATGCCCAGAGCAGCTCGGACGAAGGGGAACCACTCAAAAGCCAAATGGAGTGATTTCGAGCCTCACCTTTCGCAACATCAAATGCCCCACAAGACCTCAGGGTCCGATTTTGAGTACTATTTCGGTTAGCCTGCTGTGGATGGACGAAATCCTACCCCACTTTGAAACCATGGTTGAAACCGTTGTTCGTTGATATTGCAGGCGAATCAATTCATTCCGTGCGAACGGCTGTCCTCCATCCAGGTGTTTGTTGGTTCTCTTTGGGTGTGGCTCAAAGTTAAAAAGCTGGGGTTACGCAGGTTTTGATCTTTGTTTCCATGCACCAAGGTGTCACTCAGTTGTCCAAAGCCAAACTTTTAACCTTTTGGTTTCCCATTTTTGGTCCATTTTAGTCAAGGTCCCAAAAGGTTAACCTTTTATTTCCGGGTGTTTTTGGGGCAACTGAGGCCATTCTGGGTACATTTTTGTTGAGCCACAGCCATTTTGCACCCCTTCGGGGAGGTTTGGGGCGGCACGGATTGGCGGAGGCTCCTCCACGGGCTGCATGTGGCGCGCCACTTGCGGTCCAACTCTGTGGCATTTACCGTGGCCTGCCAGGCAACGAGGGTCGAGACATGCCACCGGCGCCTTGATTTTTTTTGGGAGTCTCGCAGATGTGTGTGTGTGTGTGTGTTTTTTGCTTTATTTCCGGATGGACCCGCCAAGCGATTGCCAAGCAGAGTTTGTTCAAGGTACAAATGGTTGAATTGTTTCACGGTCCTGTAGGGGAGTACATGGTGGGTGTTTTGACAACAAAACAGGGGGAGCGGTTCATTTTGTGGCTTTCTTCTGGTTGTTGTTCGAGGGTTCCGGGTAAGGGTGGACCTCAGGGTGTCTCAGATGGCTTTTTGGAACCATTTGGGGCAGGCGAGGTACCCCATTGTGGGCGTTTCGGAAAAATGGGGACCAATCTCAGGCGGTTTTACCATGTATTCAAAGAATTGAACAACTTCTTGACCTCGAGCCACTTCGACGTGGAGCTGGGCATTTCATGAAACCCAAGAAACCAGCCTTAGCCTCCAGAGAAACCACCCATCGACTATTTTGTTGTTTCCTTTCTTGTTTATTTTTAATTGGAATCTATCACCACTGGACATATGTTCTCTCATTTTTTCTCC